ATGTGGATCTATGGTTTGCTTACCCCGTCGAGTAGTAATTGCCATACAATGACCATCATTCTTTGGATTCTGGATGGTATTGCTAGGAAGAGTGCCAGGTTGACGTAGACTCACTGTAGTAGACAACTGAATCATCTGCTGCTCTAGATGCTTTATTGACACTATAAGGGCATCAACCTTTTGACCAATACTAGACAAGTCGTTTCTCATCTCCTTCACATTCTCATCAATTGCATCAAACCTTCTCATCATCTTCTGCATCATATCTTCATTACGCGCCATATTACCTCCAGCTTCCCTAGCACCAGATTCCTGATTTTGAGGGGGAACATAAGGTCCAACCCGATCATTTCTGTTGCCATAGTTGTTCCTGTTGTAGTTGTTATCGGGATTGAAGTTCCCATCCCGGACATAATGACCCTCTCAGTTGTAATTTCTATAGTTCTGACCTTGGTTCCCTTGACCTTGGCGCCAATTTTCCATGTTGGATCCTTGGGCATTTGGTCGGAAACCCCCGTCTGATCATTCACAACATAATCATCCTCTTCATAGTAACACTCCTCAACTGGTGGTGGAGTTCTAGTTAAGTAGTTCAATGTATTTACCTTTTCTGCTCCTCCGGTCACATGCTTCAATACCAACCCCAACTATGTCCTCATCTGGGCCATCTCCTCACGAATATCATATGCAGAATTGATAGTTGTATTATGAACGACAAATGTGTTTCTCCCAATATTTGACCTCCTAGTTCTCCATGCTTTATTGTTGCGAGAGATCCTCTCCAGTTTTTCAGCAATCTGTGCATATGTACAATCACTATATGAACCTCCAACAATAATGTCAAGTACTTCTTTATTGTTATCATCCTGTTCTCGATAGAAAAATTTCTTCAGCGACTCATCATCAATACGGTTATTTGTAAACCTTTTACGAATGCAGTGAATCTGTCCCAAGAGCTCCTCACAGACTCTCCAGGTAATGCTACAAAATTGTTGACCCTATCTTTGTGATTGAGCTTCTTGGACACTGGATAGTACTTCACTCGGAACACCTCCTCCAGTTGGTCCTATGTAAATATTGAGTTATAAGGAATCTCAGTGAACTATCTGCAACATCGCCTGTCAGTGACAGAGAAAACACTCGTAATCCAATGACATCCATATCCAAGTCTGGTCTACCTACACAACTTTTGCAAACCACCCTTATCTTGGCTAAGTGAGCATGTGGATCCTCCGATAGCGATCCTGAGAATAAGCCTCTTACTGTAAGCATCTGCATCAAACTACTAGTCACCACAAATGTGTGCCCTGGAGGTAGAGGGGGTTAGACAATAGGTCCATCAGAGTCTGCTATATTCATGTTACCCCGATAGTTGTCATGTTATCGTGGGCCTAGTGGATCTTGCGCCCTCAACGCATCCCTCAATCGATTTTCAGCTGGAACCTGGTTGTCCCCACCAACTACCCTCTGCTGTTGTAACTCAACTGCATCATCTAGATTTCCTCTAATAGGATCAATTGTATCTCTTGGATTGTTCATTCTTCGCAAAATGCGGTTCAGCTCTGGATCGTAACGGGTAAGTGGTTCACCCTGGCTTCGTGTACTTGGCATACACTAGAGTCAGAACCTGAGAGAGACAAAAACAAAGAGAAAAGGTAAAATTAGAAAATATTTGACTAACGTTCAATAATGTAGTTAAAATAAATCTAAAAGACAAATTCCCCGGCAGCGGCGCCAAAATTTGATACGCTCAAATTACATCTCCCTACAGAAGTATAAGCGATCGTTATCAAGTAAAGAACCCAACTTGTAGGTTGGGGTCGATCCCACGAGGAAAATGGTTTAGACTTTACTTTAACCAAAAATTATATTCATTAGTCAAATTACTTCCTGAAACAGATAATTAAAGGGGGGGTTTTGTTTGTGTGAAACAAATAGTAAGAATTTAATAAGTAATCAGTAATCATAAACTCAACTTTGGTTGTTATCAAGATGAGAGAAATAACTAGGGTATACGTGTTCCCCACAAGCTCATAACGCAGTAATCCTAGTAACAACAATCCTTTGCTAGTGTATTACATGCAAAGTGATAAGTTAGGTATCTCTAAATCCTTGGTTCGGCACCTAGACAATTTCACCCCACACCTTGGTCCGGCTACATTTGTATAATTTACTAACCCTTACCTCTACCTCATATTAGACATCATAATGATGTTTGGCTTAGTTATTACCTCGCACCAATCAACACTAGCCTATTAGATAGTATCACACTAAATCTATGTTGATAATTCTTTTCTCGTTAATTACCTCCTTGATCCGTCAAGTAGTAACAAGGAAAGTTCTAACGTTGGCCACCGTTAAAAAGACTTCTAAACGAAAGAATTATCAATGCATGCAAAACACTATTCAAGAATTGCTTATTTACTATTCATACGTTGTTAATCGTTCATGGTTCCCACAACCCTAGTTGTGGATTTAGTTACCCATATTAGTAAGAACACAATTCATAGTTTTAGATGAATAAATCATGAACTTACGTAAAGAGAATAATAAACCCAGAAATTCAACTTGAATTGCGAAGCCAAAATTTTCAAAACGAACTTAGGAAATCAATAATTGTTAGGTTTTCCAATTAATCTCCCAAGTCACAAAGTAAAACTAGAATAATAATGTCTAACCCCCAAAAACGAGTTTTACATGCCCTATTTATAGAAAACAAATCCTAAATTTAAAAGGAAACACATTAAGGAAAGTTTGTTCACACAAGCGTCTTCATTCCACGAGACTGACTTACGGACCGTCAATGGATCTACGGTCCGTAAGTCCCTTCCGTCAGCCAGGACTTAGAAAATATTTCAGCATCCAAAAATCAGCTTCTCTGAAGCAAACGACGGACTTGCAGTACGGATCGTAGATCGATCTACGGTCCGTCAATCCCCTTCGTAGCTCCACACTTAGAATCTTCAAAAATCAGGTACTGGAACCCTCATAGTATCAATCTACGGATCAATCAGTACGGTCCATAAATCAACGGACCGTCAATGGCCACCATGGTTCCACACTTGGTCAGATTTCCCTAATTTGTCTTCCATACGTTGCCTGCTGATCTACGGTCATCACCTACAGACCGTCAATGGACCTACGGTCTGTAGATCACCTCTGTGAATGCCCTTTTTCTGCATTTCTTTCATCTGTCTCTATACTTCCGCGCTTGAACATCTTTCGTGCAAAATACGATAAAAATACATAAAAACCAATACAAAAAGGCCCTAGACACACAACTTGTAAGTGAAATGTATTAGAAATACCGTAAACTCATGGTATATCAGTAACGGGGCTGAGTGTAAAGGTATGTCATTTAGGATTAGGGACTTCTACCTTCATGAAGTATGGCATGAACAACACTTTTCTTCTTGTAGTTAACATTTCAAACATGATCATAATCTACCTCATTATTCAACTTTATAGGAGCCACCAGACACCCCATTTCTTTTGCAATTTTCACTACTTTATTTCCCAACTTTTTCTCTTTTTCAATCATTTTGTTTTCTTTTCTTTTCCCTCTTTTTATTTTACATGGAGGGGTTCCATATTTTTTTCAAAAATAACTGATCAAAGGGGGATTTATTCACACTTCTTGACCTTCCTTCTCACCACACCCCAACATAGGCTTTTGGCCTGTGTTGGCTATATATGCAAACATACCGATACTTCATGAAGGTTATGGGTGATAGGATAAAAGGGTCAAAGTTGTTGAAGTTTCTTCCAAGAAATGGATAGGCTCAAAAGGTGACAAGAAAGATTCACAGATCTAACAAGGGTGGCAACAAAAGAGGTATATTGTCAAATTGGTTCACTCTTTAGAATTTTCGCCTAAGATCATTTCAATTGTTTGCTCCACTTTAATCAATTGGACCAACGAGAAAAATTCTAGGTGTCATCACATACAATGTTCAAGACGACCTCACCACACAAGGCATTGATACAATCATCAGACAAGACTCCACACTTTCTAGCTAGCGTGCAATGTTGATCACAAGAGACTTCATCGAAAATCGGGTAGTCACAAGAAGATGCTCAAAGTTCACATATTGCTATATAACTTTTTTTGCCCCATCGTAGCCACATATTCATGTCGTTCAATTAGAGGACTATTCAGGTCATCGGTATTGACCACAACCGATACTTGAAAATGTGAGAGAACAAAAAGCTACAACCCCACCAAAAGCATCCAACATTGTCCTGAATGTTATCAAAGAACAAACACAACACAAAATACAATAAAAAAAGAAATAAAAATGAGAGGCATTGGCACTAAACAAAAAAAGTAGGGTGAGAAGTAATCTTCACTAGGTGGCCATTTGGCGAACGGTTACACCATTCGTCGAGCCATTGATTTACATGCAATTCACCAAAATATCCAGACTGTTTCCACTCAAATTTGGAAGAAAGGCGATCGGGTGCGCCAAACAACATCGGCGCATCGCCAAGAATGCGCTGAGAATCGCCAAAATATCAAAGACTCTAACCCTGTAGGGTTGTGCAAAGGCGTAGATAAAGTTGGGTTCGCCCAATCTTCTCGGCGCATCGCTAAATATTCCAGTGTCTTAACTCATATATGGGCCACAAAAGCGTACAAAGTTGTGATCGTCAAATCAATTCGATTGTTCGCCGAAAGGGCCCTGGTGTCGCAGAATCACCCATACATGCACATTCAACACACATTATTCAAAATAACTAAGACTTGAGTTGCCTCCCAAGTAGCGCCTTATTAATCGTCATGGCTTGACGTGGAAATGCTTTTAAGCATCTTCCAAGTACACCACTTCGATCACTAAAATCTTAAGGCATTCACCAAAATATAGCTTCAAGTGTTGCCTATTAACCTTGAAGGTTGGACATTCCTTACCTTCGACATCAATGGCCCCATTCTTGAACATTCGTGTCACTTTAAATGGACCGGACCATTTTGACTTGAGCTTTCTCGGGAAGAGTCTCAGTCAAGAGTTGGATAGAAACACAAAGTCTCCAACTCTAAATTCACTCCTAAGGATTTTAGAGTCATGCCATTTCTTCATTTTTTCCTTGTAGGGAGCTGAACTTTCATATGCCTTAAACCTGAATTTATCCATTTCGTTCAGCTGATCTACTCTTTCTTTCGAGGCATTTACGCAATCCAGATTTAATGCCTTGAATACCGATGGTGCTTTGTGTTCTATTTCAATCGATATGTGACAAGATTTCCCAAAAACCAGCCGATATGGGGACATGCCAATTGGTGTCTTGTAAGAAGTGCAATATGCCAAAACAACATCATCTAGATTTTTAGACCAATTAGTCATATTTGCATTCATGGTCTTAGCCAAGATACTCTTAATCTCCCAATTTGAAACCTCGACTTGGCCACTCGTTTGAGGATGATATGGCATTGCCACTTTATTTTTCACCGTGTATGTACTCAATGCAAAGCAAACATCCGGTTGAAAAAATGCGAACCTCCATCAGTGATAATAGCCAGAGGAGTGCCAAATCTTGCAAACATGTAGCGTTTTAAGAATTGAACAACGCTCTTCCCTTCATTATTGAATAGTTCCACTACTTCCACCCATTTAGAAATGTAATCCACAACCACCAAAATATACTTATTACCAAACGAACTCACGAACGGCCCCATGAAATCTATTCCCCACACATCAAATAACTCAACTTCTAAAATAGGCTTAAAAGGTAACTTATGCCTTCTGGACATCCCACTTTGGTTTTGGCATTGTATGCATTTCTTGACAAATTCATGAGCATCTTTGTAGAGGGATGGCCAGTAGTAGCCACTTTGCAGAATCTTAGCGGTTGTTCGCACACCGCTATGAGGACCACTAACTGGCAACAAATAACAAGAATTTAGAATTTTAGTAACTACTCATTTCGGCACACATCATCAAATAATATGGTCTGCACATTCTTTCAATAAATATGGTTCATCCAAGAAATATATTTTGAAATCGAACAAGAACCGTTTCTACTGATAAAGGTTCAGGTCTTCCGGCATTAACCCACACACCACTTAGTTAGCAAAAATTGACATACCAAGGAGTTTGCATAACAGTGGCCATGAATACCTTCTCATTTGGGAATGAATCATTTATGTCTAAGTCGATCTTATCTTTCTCTTTACCCTCCAACCTAGATAGGTGATCGGCCACCTCATTTTCGCACCCTCTTCTATCTTTGACTTCAAAGTCAAATTCTTGCAATAACAATACCAATCTTATCAACCGTGGTTTAGCATCTTTATTTTCCATTAAATACACTAGAGCTACATGATCAATGTTAACTACCACTTTAGGGCCTAGTAAGTATGCCAAGAATTTCTCAAATGCATATACAATAACAAGTAACTCTTGCTCTGTATCAATGTAGTTACGTTGAGCACCATTCAATGTTTTTCTTGCATAATAGATTGGATGCAATAATTTACTGCGCATATTTTCGAAAAGAACACCCAATGCAGTCCCACTTGTACTCACATCACTTCAAATGGTTTCGACCAATATGGGTTAATAATCACCGGAGTAGGGATTAATTTCTCTTTAAAATACTTAAAGGTTGTCATACATGCTTCATCAAAGTCAAATTTCGCCTCCTTCTCCAATAGCCTGCACAATGGGAGTGAAATTTTTAAGAAATATTTGATGAATCTCCGGTAGAATCCGGCATGCCCCAAAAAACTACGAATACCTTTTAGTGATATTTATGGTGGTAGCTTCTCAATCACCTCAATCTTTGCCTTGTCAACCTCCAACCCCTTCTGTGATACTTTGTGACCCAAAACTATACCTTCCCTAACCATAAATTGATGTTTCTCCCAATTTAGGAGTAAATTAGTTTCCACACATCTTTGAAGAACCTGCCCAAGGTGTGCCAAACATGATTCAAAAGAATCACCCACAACTGAGAAGTCATCCATGAACACTTCCATTGAATCTTCTACCATATCGGCAAAAATAGATAACATGCCACTTTGAAACGTCGTCGGGGCATTACACAACCCGAAAGGCATCCTTTTGAAAGAGAAAGTACCATAGGGACAAGTAAGAGTGGTTTTCTCTTGATCTTCCGATGCAATTGAGATTTGATTATACCCGGAATAACCATCTAAGAAGCAATACCATCCACGGTCTGAAAGTCGATCGAGCATTTGATCCATAAAAGGCATGGGAATATGATCTTTTTCTTTCCATGAGTTCAACATTTGATAGTCCATGCATACCCTCCATCTAGTTACCAGTCTTATAGAAACAAGTTCCTCTTTCTCATTTGGGACTACCGTTATGCCACTTTTTTTGGGTACAAATTGCACTGTACTCACCCATTTTCTATTCGCAATTGGGTAGATCACACCCGCATCCAACCACTTGATTATCTTTTTTTCAGCACCTCTTGCATTGGTGGGTTCGATTTTCTTTGATGCTCGACACTAGGTTTGTACTCACTAAAGTTGAATCTCGTGAGTGCAAATGCCAGGTGGAATACCTACAATGTCAGCGATAGTCAGCTTTTATCCTTGATATACCTTCTCAACACCTCAAGAAGTAATTTTACTTGACATTCAAGCAAGTCAGCCACAATTATAACGAGCAAAGTGTTGGTTGCTCCAAAGAATGCATATTAAAGATGAGCAGGGAGCACTTTCAATTCAGGCTTTGGTGGTTCCTCAGTGGATGGTTTAGCAGGAGGATTTAATCGATTCTTTTGATCAATATCTAGCTTCAATGGGTTCCTTAAGTATTCACCTAATCCTGACAGAGCAGCTACCACCTCATCATACCCTTGAACTTCGGTCTTATCATAATTCGCAAGAACAGCCTCAAGAGGTTCACTAAAAAACATCAAATGTCTCACATTGGCCATTGTTTCATCAAATACATCAATCGTTAAAACCACATTAATATTACTTGGGTATTTTATTGATTTTCTCATATTAAAGGTGACCTCATCTTCGTTCACCCGGAACATCAACTCCCTGCTTTCAACATCCACTAATGCTCTCCCAGTTGCTAAAAATGGTCTTCCTGAGATAACGAGAATTTCAGCGTCAATCTCACAATCAAGAATAACAAAACCAGTCGAAAAGATGAATCGATCGACCTTTACCAATATATCATAGAGTATCCCAATGGGGTGCTTGATCGACTGGTCCGCCATAAGAAACCGCATTGTTGTGGATTGCTTCACCCTGCCCATGTTGTTTATAGATTTCATAGGGCATTAGATTTATACTTGCCCCAAATCACATAGAGGTTTAGCAAATTGAAGCATACCAATAGTGCATGGGATGGTGAATGCCTTTAGATCTTCTTTTTTTCTAATTATCTCGCTAGTCATAATGGCACTATATTTATGAGAAACTCTGATTATCTCGAAGTCCATGCTTCTTTTCTTGGTGACTAGTTCCTTCATTAATTTGGCATAACACGAAATCTCTAACAATGCTTCCACTAACGGTAGATTTATAGAAAGTGTCTTAAACATTGATAGGAACTTCTTGAACTTCTCGTCCTTATTTTTGTTCTTGAGACGAAACAGAGAAGCTATTTTGGGAAGAGGTTGAACAATCATTGGAGTTGAGCTGCCCTTTTCTTTAATTTTTTTGTAACTATTCAATGGGGCTTTGCTTATGATTTTCCTCCTTCTCTTTGAGTTTGTCACTTTCATGTGCTTGAATGGGATTCTCTTCCTCCTCAATATCTTTCTCTTCTTCATGAGCTTTCACCCAATCATTACCCTTTGTACTACTAACCGCCATTTTTCCACTTTGAGTCACAACTGCCAAATATTTGTCACATTCAGTCCTCAAAGTTGTTGCACATTCAGCCTCACCCCTTTCAAATAGTTTAGACTCCAATTATAGTGCAAGTTATCCTAATTGATCCTCAAGTTGTTTGATTGCATCAACATAAAAATTCACTCTGTTATTTAATGATGAGAAATCAGCTTTCATCTCTTTAAGCATGTCATCTGATCCTTCAACCTTGTCTAAGATACATGACAACAATTCATCCACCCTGAAGTTATCTGAATTGCCCTTCAATCTTGGGATCTCACTTGATTGAGTATGGTACTCTTCATGATTGTTTTCTCTCCCCCAAGAGTTCTTTTGTTTACTCCAAGCTTGATAGTAACGCCTTCACTCTTCTTCATGTGTGTTCCAACCTTGATTCCCACTCGCCTTAAAGTAGCTCGGATAGGAACCCTCATCCAGTGTCAACACTCTCCTTACTTCTTTGGGTTCACCCACATATTCTAGTATTTGTTTTAGTAATAACTACATTTGGGCTAGCATCTTGCTAATATTCTCATCCCTCTCTTTCTCCTTTTCAAGTTCTTCTTGCGTCATCCTAAAGTAAAATAGGGAAACTCAGTCCTCTTGAGTGTACCACACCTGATTTATTTTTGTCATTTCATCAAGAAGGGACGAGGCTACCTCAAATGATTGAAACATTATTCCTGCTCAAGCCAATTGGTCAGCCACTCCTTTGTTCACTGAGTCTAATGTCTGATAAAAATACTGAAGTATAACATCACCCGACAGCCAACGAGTAGGATATATTAATAGTAACTTTTGGAACCTCAGCCAAGTTTCATGAATTGGTTCTCTTTTACCCGTTTGAAGTTTTGGATTTCATCACGCAATTTCACTATCTTTGATGGTGGAAAGAACCTCACATAGAATGCCCCATCGTAGCCACATATTTATGTCGTTCAATTAGAGCACTATTCAGGTCATCGGTATTGACCACAACCGATACTTGAAAATGTGAGAGAACAAAAAGCTACAACCCCACCAAAAGCATCCAACATTGTCCTGAATGTTATCAAAGAACAAACACAACACAAAATATAATAAAAATAGAAATAAAAATGAGAAGCATTAGCACTAAAGAAAAAACGTAGGGTGAGAAGTAATCTTCACTAGGTGGCCATTTGGTGAACGGTTACACCGTTCGCCGAACCAATTGGCGAGCCACTGATTTACATGCAATTCACCAAAATATCTAGACTGTTTCCACTCAAATTTGGGAAGAAGGGCGATCGGGTGCACCAAACAACATCGGCGCATTGCCTAGGATGCGTAGAGAATCACTAAAATATCAAAGACTCTGACCCTGTAGGGTTGTGCAAAAGGGCAGATAAAGTTGGGCTCCCCCAATCTTCTCGGCGCATCGCTAAATAATCCAGTGTCTCAACTCACTTTTGGTGCCACAAAAGCGTACAAAGTCATGATCGTCAAATCAATTCGGCGGTTCGCTGAAAGGGTCCTGGCGTCGCAGAATCACCCATACATGCACATTCAACACACATTATTCAAAACAACTAAGACTTGGGTTGCCTCCCAAGTAGCGCCTTATTGATCGTCATGGCTTGACGTGGA